TCTATGGTTTCATAACTTTGGTTTGTTTTAATTAACTGACCAAATTGGAACTTTCGTTTTTTAAAAATTATTTTTTAAATTAATATTGCATAAATTCACATGTCGTTAATTAAATTAATTTTTTAAATACTATGAAATATATTTAAAATTGTAATAGAATAAAAATGTGTAAAAGAATTTCGTCCTCAAAATACGCGTAATTGTGTAACTATATATGTATATAATACATATATATATATATATATACATATGTATGCAATGTGCTAGCTAATATTCCAATCATCAAATTGCTCCAAATCACACACATTTATCACAAAATGACAACTCTTCAACAACTCGTGATGTCGATAGTTTTTTATTTCTTCTATTTCAGTTTATGTTCTTTCTCTTTCTACATAATATATATATATATATACATATATATACGCACACACATTCAAATACACGCGTATATATATATATATATATATATATATTAAAGTATTTGATTATTAAAAATTGTCAACGGGTATTTTTATATAATAAATTTTGGCCGAATAATTATGTGTATTATTATATATTTACTCGTTTGTTAATTTGATTAGTTACGATATTAATTTAATTCTTATCCACCCTACGCATTGCAAAATGGCATGCACGTAGAATCAATTATTAATATTCAAATAAAAACTATATAATATAATTTTATTCAAATAAAAAACTATAAAATATAATAATGTAAGCAATTCAACTCTAAAAACTTTCTCAAACGTCAAATCAATTTAATTTAACGTGCATTTTTTTTTTTTGTATTTTTTATAATTTTGAAATAAAAATTTTAAATAAATCATGCCAGAATATATACCAAAAGCGACGTTTATAATATTCAATGAGGAATTCAATTTTAATATGTTATGTTTTAAACATAATTATATAAAGTGACGTTTATAAATTGTATTAATATAATTAACCGTAATTTATGAATTATTTATGAAAGATTGATAATTGTTCTTAATTTAAAATGTAGAATATTATTATTAATATTAATGATTCGAGTAATTATCTAATTTTTATTCCCTCCCAATTAATAATCATTACCACTAATTAAGGGTTACTATATAATCAACTATATTATAATTAAATTTACTTTAGAAAATTAGTGTATTACAGAAATATTATAATTCAATTATAAATTTACTTTAGAAAATTAGCGTATTACAGAAATATTATAATTCATAAATGTGAACACATGAAGTAGGCATGTATGTGGCATCAATCACGGAATGATATATCATATTCATTATCATTATTAGTAAATAATATTTTAATTTTTAATCTCAATTAGTAAAAGTACATAAAATTTTTAATTTTTTTATAAATATATAAGATAAATTAAAAATTATGGGTCCAAATTTAATTATTAAATCTGTAACGATCCCGGAAATCCAAAATAAAATATATAATAATTTATGTGCGAAAACAAAATAAAATATTAAAATTTACATCCCTTACATAATAACTTAAAAGTACTAAACAAACATCACATAATGAATTATCTGAAAGGAACACGAGAAATAAGAAAACTAAATAAAAATATAAAGTATTTAGCATCTATTAGCAATCTTTTTGCGGATTGGACTCGGGAACCAGGTCCTCTTGATTTGAAATGATTAAATAAGATGTGAGCTACACTAGTTCAGTAAGAACATCACACTATATCACCGGCACAGAAGTAAATGTTGGTAGAAAATCAAAACAACTAATAGATCAATAAATTTAAATCAATACATTTATTAAAAATAAAATTATTTACTTTTCACTTACCGTTTGAGAATTTATGAAAACAAATTATAGAAGCAACAATATCATACAGATCATAACTTCATGCACGATCAGCAATATAAAACATATTATAAATTCACATTTATTAATAATAAATTAAATCATAACCGTCTCTCGTTTCACCAGCCTACTAGTATCCATAGGAATCCATAGGGGTGTCCTTACTATACGTGAACTATTTCTCTTAACAATCTTAATTATATAGCCGTTCCCATACCCCGTTCGGTATGAGGGTGAAGCGAACCGTCTCCATACTCCGTCCGGTATAAGCGCCGAATGACCAAGTCTGCATACCCTGTCCAGTATAGGACAACGTTCACGGTAGGGCTCCCTATGAACCTGATCCATCCACCATCTCTTAGGATATCTAGTGAGGCTGTCATCTTACCTGTTTATTAGATCACACTCCTTTCCTATTTTTTCCTTAGTCTCCGTTACCAAATCAAACATAATTACATAAATAAATAAACATGCATCCGGTAATGCAATCATATCTTAGATCCCAAAATCAAACAGTGGTCAAGTAAGATAATAATACATGCATTTAAACCATAAAATAGATAAACCAGAAACCATCATGCTTTTAGACTGCAAGATCAATCAACAGAAATTAATAGAGAATAATGTCCGGTTCGGGCTCCATTAACAATCTGTAATTAATTATGCATATCTATTTAATTTGTATAAAATACAGTATTTCACTTATTCAAAATTCAATTCCATGATAGGAAATAGGGTGAGGGGTCCTTACTTGATTTGACGTCGAAAAATTAAATGATTTACTACGCCTACGGGCGATCCCTAGGTTCCCTGAATTTTTCTTCGGAAACTTAAACGCGCTTACGATACCTACAAATGTCCAAAATAACCCAAAAATCAGTCTCAGGGCCTACTCGGCCAATTTTGAAAATCGGGTCAACCGTTTTCGGCCGAATTCGGTCGATTTTACATCGATTCCTGCGAGTACACACGCTAAAGGGCCTCGGTGGGCCGAAAAATACGAAAAAGTAAAACTCACCGGCGTCGGGGCTCTCCGGTGCGGCGGCTATTCCAGCTCACATTGCGGTTGATTGTTTCACTTCGGTCAACTTGTAGAGAGAAAAACAGTAAAAAAATTACACAAAACGAGAATCGAGAAGGGTCTCATTGAAGACGGTTTATGAAATTTCCTGCGGCGGCACCGCCGGGCTTCGACAACATTTTTCGGCCAATTGGCCAGTTCTTTCACTGCGGCGCCGCCAGGTTTCAGCGGCGTTTTTCAGCCAATTGGTCGGTTCTTTCACTCCGATTTGGGCATGAGTGGTTTAAAATTGAATTTCATGTAAAAAATAAAATTTTTACCTCTTTTGGCAGTCAGAAAATGTTTCGATGCGGCGGCGGTGAATGGCGGCAGTTGGCTCCCCGGCAGCTGGGTTGTCTTATTCGACGAAGGGTTCTGGCGACAAGGGTTAGAGTTTGGGTGCGGATGGGGTTATTTATACCCATATGCTTTTGATATGAGCCGTCCATCGCTTTTAATTTGAACCGTCTGATCGCGATTAAATAGGGAGTGAATTTGAACCATTCATCGTAATTCAATCTGTGCCGTCCGTGCGCACGGGAACGGACTTCAACCGTTCGATCGCGTGCACGCGGATCGCCCACGTGATTCTCCCCTGCGTGGCCTACCGCATCAGTGCCTCTGCCACTTGGCTTATTCTGGTTGGTCGGGACTGCTGACCGGACGTCTGACATGGCGCAGTTTTTTTAAATTATATTTTAACTATTGATTTCTAATTTTTCTTTTAAAAATACTCATATAACCTAAATTTTTACTCATTTTTTCTAAAATTATTTTTAATTTAATTCTTAACAGATTTTTACCTACATTTTTTATTAAATTAAAATAAATAAATAAATAAATAACTATATTTTAAAAAAAATAAAAATAAAAAAAAAAACAAATGTTGGGTGTTACAAAATTTTGATCGTCTTCATTAGCATGCATCATACCATAAAAAAATTTAACATTTCTAATTTTTTTAATCTAACATTATAATCTAATAAATTAATAATATAAATCACCTTTTCTAAATTATTTGTGGTTTTATAAATTACGATATGTATAATATGATTAAAAAGATAATAAATAAATTAGATTGAAGTTAAATAATTTATTGGAAAATGAAAAAGTATTAAAGAAGCTTTTTATTATTTCAAGTCTTCACATGGGTTATGGCATACATGACGCTTATGGCATTATTCATACGAGACATAGTTGGCACGATTGTATTGTCAAATACGTGTCTCCAACCCGTTACATATAGATATAGTGATTCAGCTTTCAATCAATAATCAATACACTAAATATATATATATATATATTATATTTAAAAACTTAATTATTAATCAAGAAATGAATTAACCCCATCACAGAAAATCATTAATTAAATGTCATAATTGTATTCTAATTCAATATTTAAGAATAATTAGTTGATTAAAAGCTAAAATCTTTACAAATAGTAATTTCTTTTTCTCATTTTCTCGTTACCCTTCTTCTCTTTTTTTTTTTTTTTGCTAAAAATAAATTAATTTAATTATTCTCTAATTATCTTCACAAATTTGTTTTAAAAAAATATAAAGTAATAATGGGTCTTCTCACGTAATAATTACTTGATTTTAAATTTTACCAAAAGTATATGATAATTTTTTTATTGGTTATTGCCTTTGATTTGATTGGTATGAAATTATTGTATATAAAAATTAAGTTAAAACATAGTTTATATATATATATATATGATATAGTTTTAATTAAATTTTTATATTTTTAAAAAAAATTTAATTAAAAACATATATGAAATAAATAAATTATTTTTGGGTTTGTGAAATGTCTGGGTTCAACCAACCCACAAATGTCACCTCTGATTTGCAAGTTGATAGCTATCCATTAAGGAAGTCTTAATTTTACTATTTCCACTTTATATCTTACTATTGCCACCCACGGTAAAAACTGCTCAGTAACAGTAAAGAATCCGGCTTACGAAAATCTACCACCTTTATCCTTTTTCAAGTAAATTAAACTGTCTTTTTCTTACCCCCAGTGAAGTCCTTCCTACCCACCAACATTTAAACCAATAAATAAGCAAAGAAAATCCTTCATAAATTCCCCCTTATCAGTTTCGCTCTGTTTGGGTACCGAGAAAACAACAGTTTTACTTTTTTCATTGACCAAGGTAAGCTCCGTTCTCCTTTCACTCTCTCTGAAAAACTTTAGTTTATTCTTGGGTTTTTCCGATTTTTCTCCTTCTCCATCGCTTTTTGAGTTTCGGCCCCTTTAGTGTCTATCTTCTTTTATTATTTTCTTTTTTTCATTTTTGATCCAAGTGTGGTGGATTGGAAAAAAAATCTAGGAATCTGTCAATGTCTTGGTGCTGTCACTTGTCACCAACTTCAAACCAGCTTGTGCTTTGCGAGATTTGTGCGCTGTACGTGTTCTGTTTCGTGTTTTAATATTGGAATTCTGATTTTTTATTTTTTCCCAAAGGGTACTCCATCGGATTTGCTTGTGTTCTGGGATTTTTTCGCGTATGGGTTTTTCTCCTCTGGAGGTCGTATGATGTTCAAGGTGCCATCTTTCATCTTTTCTCTTTAATTTTTGTCAGTTTTCCTATCGTTTTCTATCATACAAATGTGTAATCGTTTTGTGAGTAGTCTTTTTCTTGTTATTCTTCTAGCTCACAGGATCTCCAAATAGCCATTGATTTTCTTTTCTATCTGGGTTTGTGATTCATTAATTTTAATCTATTTGTTCCTGTTGTTAATCTAGGTAAGGAATTAAGCTCAAAAGACCCTAACTTCAGTTCCAGCTAAGCTCAAACGATCCAGTTTCTTCCTTCTTCCATTGATTTCCAGATGGGCAATAGACGATTTGAACTGCTCATTTCTCTTTTTTCAATCCTTTGTTTGGTTTGGTTTTCCTCTGGATTTTCCCCCGTGGATAATTTGCTCATTGATTGTGGATCATCCACCAACACAACTGTGGATGGTAGAGTTTTCATGGCGGATGACTTGGCATCTGATTTACTCTCCACTCCAGAAAAACTCCTTGCCAACACCTCAAAACCCGTCACCTCCTCCAATGATTCATCACTTTACCAAACAGCTAGAATCTTCACCTCCACCTCCAAGTACACTCTCCCCATCCGCCAATCTGGAAGGCACTGGATTCGCCTGTATTTTTTCCCATTTGTTTCTGGCACCCACAACTTGAGTTTAGCCAACTTTGCTGTTTCCACCCAAGATCATCTTCTGCTCAGTGATTTCACTGTACGTTCCAGGGTTGTCAAGGAATTCTCGGTAAACGTCACCACAAACACCCTTATCATCACCTTCATTCCATCCAATAATTCATTTGCATTCATAAATGCCCTGGAGGTTGTCTCAGTTCCAAACCAGTTGATTACAGATGATGCCAGCGTTATTGGTCAAGCTGGGGGATTTCTGGGCCTGTTATGGCAGGCATTAGAGACTGTTGCTAGGGTTAATATGGGTGGACCAACTATTACTCCCAGCAATGATACACTAGGTAGAACTTGGGTGCCTGATGGGAATTTCCTTGTAGAGAAGAACCTTGCCAAGAGTGTGTCTAATATTGGAGCTGTTAACTATGTGGATGGTGGGTCAACACCTGATATTGCTCCAAAAACTGTGTATGGTACTGCTTCTGAGATGAATTCAGCTGATAATCCCATCAACAATTTCAATGTAACATGGGAATTCTCCATTAATCCTGGTTATCAGTATCTTCTCCGGTTTCATTTTTGTGATATAGTGAGCTTGTCCCTCAACCAGCTTTACTTCAATGTTTATGTTGATTCTTGGCTGGTTGTTAGGGATCTTGATCTTAGTACTTACTTGGTTAATACTTTGGGTGCTGCATATTACATGGATTATGTTACAGTGCCGGCAGTTAGCAATAAGCTTCGTGTTAGTATCGGCCCGTCTGCTCTGCATTTGGATTTCCCTAATGCTATTCTGAACGGGTTGGAAATCATGAAAATGAACAATTCTGCAGGCAGCCTTAGTGGACCACCGATTAATTTATCCGCTTCAAGTTCAAAGAAGAATGTTGCAATGATAGTGGGTGTGACTGTTGGTGCATTTTTTGCAATGGTGTTGGCTGGAATTCTCTTTCTGGTGTGCAGGAGAAGGAAGCTGTTGGCTCAGGGTCACTCGAAGACATGGATTCCGTTGTCCATTAATGGAGAAACTTCCCATACAATGGGAAGTAAATGCTCGAATGGTACTATTGCCAGCATAGCTTCCAACTTAGGATATCGCTATCCTTTTGCAGTTGTTCAAGAGGCAACAAACAACTTCGATGAGAGTTGGGTTCTCGGAATTGGTGGTTTTGGCAAGGTGTACAAGGGTGTGATGAATGATGGAATGAAAGTAGCTGTCAAGAGGGGAAATCCCAAGTCTCATCAGGGACTTGCCGAGTTTCAGACTGAAATTCAGATGTTATCTCATTCAGAACCGCCATTTGGTTCGTTGATTGGTTACTGTGATGAAAAAAAACGAGATGATCTTGATCTATGAATATATGGAAATG